GTCCAAAAGAAGCTCCAAAAATTTCAGGGCATCCTTTAACCTGCTGCTGCATAATCATACCATGGTCTGCCATACTTTGTCTAAGTCACCATCTCAGAATCTCAACATTAGCTCCTTTAACTCTAGAGCATTAGGAATCAAAAAAAAAAAAAAAAAAAAAAAAAAAAGAAAAAAATCCCAAAATATTGCTAGAAGTGTCAGCAGAGAGGACAGGGCAAGGGGAGGCAGAAAGCAGTCCAGAGTTAAATCCAGCTGCTGATGTCAAGAGAAGCTGAATTGCAGCAGAAGCCCTTCTGCTGAGGCTCCCAGGCAGGCTCCCAGACAGGGCAAGTGGGATGGAAAGTCAAAGGTGCAGGAGCATGTGCAGCATTCAGGCATTTCAATCGTGCATTCCCAGCTTGGTCTTTAGACACAAAAGGCAGATGGCTTTTTCAAGCAAAGGCTTGCAAAGCTCTGATTCATCTTCTTTCAATAGGAAGACTTGTCTGAAAGCTGAAGCTCCCATTACAAGAGAAACCCATGCCACTACTTGCTGTGACTGTTCAGTTGTAGTTGAAATCGTTTTCTACTTTCAGCTGAGACTTTGTATTCTAAGGTTGACAGCAGCTTCTTCACCCCCCTCCCTCAGCATTCTTTAAAATAGATTTTCTTAGTTAATTAGATTTTCTTCAGTTAAAAAGACTGAATTATTTCCCAATACAGTAACTCAAACTGCTTACTGTATAATTAATGCTTTTAGATACAAATATCCAATGGACATTTTATTTCACATAGATACACATGAGGTCAATTACACTTGCTGTGCAAATCATGCACTTGAGTATGATCAGTGGCACTAGAAATCCAATTATCTTTGGCTTTCTAGGTGAATCTTTGGACAGACTAGGGCACAGCTATGTGGCTAATTAATCTGTACACAGATCCCATGTTAAGCAGATGGTGAAACTTGGATGTGATTTCACAGTAACACATTTGAAAGTGAAAATTCTAAATCTCTCAATTTGTCTCCAAACTGGCTTTGGGATAACTTACTATAACCTGCAACAATCAGCTAAGTAGCATCAACATCCAGATTAACCAGATTCTTCCTGCTATTAGGACACATGAGAAACTGAGGAGCTTTCTAGACAGAGGTTACCTTTGGTTCATTTAAATTGTTTCAGAAAACAGTCACTGATTTGATAGAGAACAATATTTTTCTGTTTGTTTGCTGATTCCTAGCCCTACTATTATGTTATCATTATACTATATTATGCTTTATTATCACTAGCTATTTTGTCTCAAGAAGGCAACAGGCAAGTAGTCTAAATGTCACCTTCCTGTGTAAGCAGCAACTGTTTCCTCCAAGCTCCATTCCATGTTTGCCCTTTTTTCTTGCTTACTCTTCCATCATGTATCACCTGAAAGGTGATTCAACCATCTACAATGTTACATCATCCTAATTTGTCCACCTGTAACGAGAATACCTGATGGTAACAAGTTACCCATTTTCCACTCTGAAAATTTCTTGGAGTTAAACACAGACACACCACATCCCTCAAGTTGTTACAGAACATGAAAAAAAGAGAAAAAGAACTTAGCAACACTGAATCTCAACCATTTCCATGTAGAGTTGAAAATTAACTAACCCTGTCCCACAAAGCAAGAGCAGAAAGGTAAGAAAAAATATGGAACAAAATAGAACTTGCTCTCCATCTTAGAATGACATTAGGTAATTTTTTGTTAATAAAGCCCTAACTAGGTATATTAGTGAGAAATAATTTAGCCAATAATAGAAAAAGAATGGAAGAGGCTAGGGAAGAGACTGCTACCTCTCTCAGCTGGAAAAAAAGAGATATGAGATGACTGAACAAAGAAAAACCCTAAGGACATACAAGAAGCAAAGATAGAGGGAAGGGATAAGAGACAGACAACTTACCAAATTAACAGAAACAAGCAGGCATTTTTAAGATGCTTGACAACTTTTTAATGTGCAAAACTTTCATTACTAATCCTCAATGGAACGGAATGAAACACATTGTGAATGAACAGAGGCAAGAACTTGGAAGTTCTGGTTTATACCACTGAGTGTACAAAGTCAGAGGACACAAGGAGCTTTGGTGGCTGATCAAGTAACAATCCCACATTGAGAAATTCTGGAAAACCAAATTTCTGTCCACACAAACCTTGGTAATGGCCACACCAATCCTAGAAAATTAGAGACCAGTCAATTTTTTTACATGCAGTAGATACACCTGTGTGACATGACTTAAGGTGTGAAGTCCACCCAGGAAGAATTCAGGGTAGGGGGAAGTGTAAAGCAGATGGCTTGACTTATTTTTTTTTTTTAAGCAAGTGGGACTTTTAAGAACCAATCTGAAACTTATTTAAAACACATCCAAGCAGGTGAGACATTTTGCCTTGCTCAATATTTGTTTTTTTTAGCACTAATGCAGGGTCATTAGCAGTATTTATTGACCACAGGAAATTGATCCAGATGAAAGCAAGCAACAAACTGAGATGTCACAAGCATTACTAAAGCACTGCACCCTGAAAGTGTGTTCATTCCTCTGGCCACCCCTTAAGTGTTTTGTCCATTTGCTTAGCCTAGCTGGATAAACCAATCTACATTTGATGCTATCCATCAATCTGAATTTTAAAGCTAATACACAGACATCTTACTTGCCCACAGCCATTTCTCTCTTACCTCTCAATTCATGTCAAAGAAGCAAAGAACTTTGTTAATTGTGGGATTAAAGTCAATCTCCTTCCGTTGTTATGCTTAATAGGAGCAATCACATCAGTGGCTGAAGTCTGGTCTTCAAAGAGCCAGGTTAGTCAAACATAAGACAGAAATCCAACTGCTCTACTTGGCAATGAATTAAACTTTTGCCACAAATAGTGCCTGAAAGCAATTATTCTCAAATTAGGACAGCAGTTCAGAAAAGTTATGTGTACAAAACACTATGGTGACAGTAAAGACCCCACCTGGACAATTTCTGCTGCTCTGCTGACCAGCCAGGAGGCAACTGGTAGGGCTGAAGCATCTTCTGTGGGTGCACTGCTGCACTGCACACAGTCACACATCAGCAGGGAAAGAGTCATTTTCTGCAGTTTGTTATAGGCTGAACTGGGTAAACAATACTGGCCCAAAATATTTTGCTGTCAAGGAATGGAGCTATTTAAGCACAGAATATCTGAATTCATACAAAGGACTATAAGACTTCTTAATAGGACAGGCAAGATGAATTGTCAGGGAAACTGAACCTGCAGGCACACCTTCCTAGGAACAGGATCTAATGTGGCAACGCTATTAGAAGTAATAATTCAGAGATGCAAAACAGTAATAAACAAAATCTAACATTGAGAAAAGAAAAAAAAAAAGACAATGGAATCTTTTATGGAATATCTTAAACTTCTTCCACTGACAATCAGTATTAGAGAAGTTATTTCCTGTAAATTTCTGTTAGTTAATAAGTTTAATTTAACCTAGCACACTTCAAATTGGAATATAATAGATCTGTGGCTAAACTCAGTCAAATTGAAATGATGTTTTAATATATTTAGCACACTCTATGCATTCTGTGTGTAGCCCTGCACAGATACGCAAATTTATCTCAGTTGATGAGGAAGCTGAAGTCTGCTTGATTTCCAACTTAGTCTCAAAATAAATTCTGATTTACAGTCTTGATTACTAGGCCCACAAAGGGGTAGAAGAGTCACAGTTTGACTTGTAGCCTTTAAAAAAAAATAATTTATTTTCAGTGACAATTGAAGAATCTAGATTTAGATATAGCATAAAATCAAAACTAGGATCATAAAACAAGTATAGAAAAAATTTCACTGTGGGGTTGTCAGTGCAGATTAAAATGCCCAATATCCTACCTGGGCTTCTCACATTGTTTGAGTAATTGCTACTAAGATTCACAATATATTTTTTGTGCATTTGCAATATAATCCAGCTAAAGACATTAAGCTATTCACCAAGAAACATGTCATACCTTTTAATAAATGCAGAGATATCACATCTTTACCTTCTGTCAGAAAGTCAAACCCAGTCTCTGGACATGGACCACCGGTGGACAAAAAACCCCAGGCCACCTCCCACAGGGCACTCAAGGAGGAAACTACACAGACATTTCTTTTTTCACCTGGAGCTTTACCTGTACTTGTCAGCAACCTTTGAAATGGCCTAAGTTGTCAAAACAATTTTGCCCACTCTGCAAATAGTTGTTGGTACAGCACTCGGCCTTCACACAACACAGAGCTCAAATAAGAGTGCTTTCAGGTCTGTGGAATTAAAAAGTTACTGCAATAAATTTTAATCTTCTATATAGCAACATAGCACCTGAACTTGCACCCCTCAGAGGACAAAAGAGCAGTAACATTGCTAGAAAGAAGGCAAAGTACACAAGTCAGAAGGTGAAAAGTCTCCCTTCATTCTTCATGAACTATCACACATTTTTGTTGTGCTTTCCTTGAGTTCAACACACAATACATTAGATCATTTGTGACTGAACAGTGGGAGTCCTTTAATAATATTTTGTTAAGTGTTTCCTTACTTTTAGTAGTACAATTTCTTAGTTTTCATTTGTATTGTATCCACAATCATTTTGAACATAGTTCAGACATTATATCTTATATTTTTTATAATTGGATTACCTTGTAGAATTTAGAGATACTTGGGCAGAGGACAATTTACATATAGCAATGCTAGAGAGGTGAATTACTAATCTTCCCCTCCTTCCCTACCTCCCTCACCAGTGATTCTGGGTGTTCAGTTCACCTCAATGTTGGATTTTCACACAGGACTACATGCTTCCTGTTATGTAAGATGAAAGTTGAAAGGATTTCAGCATGCAACACCACAATACCCTAAAGTGGTAGTGTTAGGAAAAAAAAACCAAACATGTTCTGCATATACAACAATATACAGAAGAAACACAACACCAAAAATGTGGATGCATTTCACCAGTCCTTGCATTTTAAGCAATCTTAAATCTAAACAACAGAAAAAAAAATTTATATTTTGAATGTTTTTATTCCAATCAAATTACAAATACAAGCATTTGAAAATGTACAAAAATAAAAAATGACATTTTCTACATCTTAAAAAAGCAGATCAGACTTACTTCTATATGTACAATCCTTTCAGTGAGAAAGCCTAATTAGCAGACATTTTTTCTGTTCTCTTCTGAGCATTCTATGCCAAATCCCTTCCCCCCCAAATCCATCCACACTTTAAAACTAAAAGTAACATTTCAAAAACCTAATACACTAAATGTCCCTGAACAGATTACAAAGAAACCATTTCTCACAGGCAATAAACCTGTAGGTGATAATGTGTATTTCCCTAATGACTTCAGGGTAAACACATCCTGATGGGTAGTTTGCAAATCAAGCTTTCTGTATTTTTTTGATACGTAACTTGGACAGCACACTCAGATTACAGTTTTAATTTTTAAGCTACTTTTGCAAATTAAAAAAAAACAATTATAGCTTTGTTGATAGCATTCTTCCGTCTCCCAAAGTTTTACCTCTTCATAAAAAAAAAAAAAAAAAGAAAAGCATCTGCAAATAATTAATTATAAAAAGCAGTAGAAGAGGTTGTTATTTTGCAAAAGGGATTGAAATGGTCACCTGCTCAATACCACATTGTACTAATGAATGCAGAGGACTCACTGCCACAGCAATAGTTTTGAACTATCCTATAATGCCTATTCAAATATTTTTGGTATCAAGTTTTGTTCATTAATATTGATCAAATTATCTTAAGCAGTATAGCTCATGTCCATGTTCTGTCATTCACTTGGCCACAACACTGTTTTCTTTCAACGTTCTGACAGTGATGCTTTTTGCAGCTGCAGTAAAGTAAGGATAGGTGGGGCAATGCTCATGTAGAGAGGTAGCTACTTAAATTAACATTATGGAAAACCAGTTTTGGGAGGACACAAGCCCTTTTTTAGGTCTCAAATACAGCAGAAAACTTTAAAATTGAAAACAGTTGCTCAATTTACATGAATGTGCCCAGTTCCTAAGAGAAAAGCAAGGTGCCAATGCTTCAAAGATGCCCCCTGCCTGCAGCACACTCACCTATGCTGGCTTTCAATTCTGCTGCTTCTACAGCTTGGCTCTTGCCTCTAAAAAAATCCAAACATCTGCAGAGAAGCACACTAATATCCCAGAAGTAATATTGAGATCTGTACAACAGGTATTTCAGCATGACACCAGACATTCTTAACATTTTGTCCTTCATGTCATCTGACCAAAAATCATCATTCTGTACTTATGTGCACACGTACTTAGAGAATACTCAAGTCTGTTAAGTTTCTCCGGCAAATTTTAGACACAACCCATTTTTCTACTGTCTTAAAATATTTTAAGATTGTCCTATCAGCTAATTTTAGCACTAGCACATTATATATGTATTTTTTACTTGCTAAATATTTACTTTTTAGTTCACAGGGAAACTTATTTTTCTAGAAAGATCCTGAGCACATTTTTTAAGCATTACCACAGACACAAAAAGATTCATGTGGGATACTGGTAGCACTGGTAATGTCAGGACATTCTCCAGTTACTTCACACTAGTGGTTAAGATTAAAGGACAGTGCTGACAAGCATTTGAAGTTGACTGAAGCTCTTCTTTTCTTGCTAAGACATAAGAACACATTACAGGCAGTTTTGTTGGAAACTGAGAAAAAAACAAGGAATGTATCTATTACCAAGGAAAATAAACTATGCAGCATCTAAAATAGGAGTCACACTTGGGAAAACAGCTAAATAGCAGTTTAAGGGTAAGATGTAGCTTCACAAAAGACACAGAAAGTTCTGTCTGCCTACTCATCTACCTCCTTCAACTAAGTTTCATGTAGACCTAACTGTAAAACCAAAGCCAGCAACAGGCAGAATCAATAGACAAGAAAAAGCCTTTGATGTAAGGCAATTGCTTCACTTTTAACAAGGTGGGAAGACAAACAGTGAGTTTGTGGACCAGCCAGTCAGTATTTGAGAGGTAGTCTAGTTGTTCATTTGACTGAGAGAGGTAGAGCTGGTTGAGAAATCAATAGCTAAGGCCAGTCAAAATGATATCCCATGTTTTCTAAGATGGCTCAGCCTGAGATTGCTAATATCACAAGGAATTCAATTGTCTTGCTCATATTTATTCACTTTTATAGGGGTAAGGTTATTGTAAAATATCCAGAGAGAATGCTCCCAGAGATAGCCAGTGAAAAAGCTTATCGGCATGTGCCGACCAATTAATACAGGTTATACATATTATGACTCTGAATGTTAACAAAGCTAAGTGGCTCTCCTCATTTGACAGATCAGAATTACTACAGAAACACAGACATATCAAATACTAGAGGCAAGTTTTAAATTCCATATGGTTTACCTATATAAAATTCTCTATACATTATTTTCACACATTAAAAAAACCCCAATCATTTTAAAGATGAAAGCCAAAAAGACATGAGGGTCATGGAGTCAACAGGTAATAAAACCCTTGTTAAAGACATCTGGGTACATAATCATACATAATGCTCCCTTGGATTGATGTAGGCTCTTCCAGGTCCTGAGTTTTGTGGGTATCTGTTGCTCCAATTTTTGTAGTAAGTTTGCTGATAAACTGGATACATAGGCTGAAGACCCTCTTGTTCCTGTGGCTCTTCAGCCTCACAAGTAAGTTGCCTTCCATTCACAGCTTTCTAAACACACACAAGAAGTAGTAAGTTTCAAAGTTCATGTGTAGAACCTCCAATTCCTATTCTTGGTAAAGCTTTAAGCAAAATAAAAGATACATGATCTCCTAGACAACCCTATGAATAAAGAAACAGGAACTTAAAAATTCCACTAACAGACAGAGTTAACCTCAAATGCTTGTTTCAAATGAAGCTGGACTCTAAAGCTCAATAAATCTAAAGAGCAAATCACCAACTACAAAAATGTCTGTCAACACTCTTCTGCTTTATGTTACTCACCAAGAAATGAAAGCTGGAGTGTTTAAGTATTTAAATTAGTCATCAAACTACTTACTACAGGATAATAAAATGGTACTGCCACTTTTCACTTAACTCACACCATCCAACAGTTACTGACCAGGATGGACAAATACGTTTTTGTTCACAAAAACCAACATTATAAGTTTATTTTATGGAATAAGATGAAATCAAAAGCTTCAATCAGGAATTCAAGCCATCTTATTATTTACCATGTGCTGCAAGTTTCCAACATCTCTCTCTCTGTACTGGCTCTGCAAAGCAAAATGTTCTTTCTGAAAGAAGAAAAGTTACAGGGGAAACAAGTCAAGATTCAAAACTGCAGAACAGTTTTGATTAATACAAAAAAAACCACCACTCATCCCAAAATACACTCTGCTTTAGGAAGTGTCTTAACTGGTTATAATTTAGACTCCTTACAATCCAATGGCTGGTGGAAAAAAGATGAGGATCAGTCAGGGTCCCCTGCCCCAGCTGTGTTCCCTCTCTCAATATCTCGTCTCCCTCCCAGTCTCCTGTGTACACCCCAAGTCCACCTGCTGGCAGGGCAGTACAAGAAGCAGAATAGGTCCCAATGCTGTCCAGTAATAAGAAAATTCCCTGAGTTATCAACACTATTTTCAGCACAAATCCCAAACGTGACCCCATACCAGCTACTGCAAAGAAAATTAGTTCCACCCCAGCCAAACTGCCCACTGTATGAGATGAGGTTCAAGATCATCTAAGCAATCTGGAGGTGAACAAGTTCATGGGACCTGATGAGATACATTTGCAAGTTCTGAAGACACTTTCACAGGAAGTGACTAACCCACTATCCATCCTGTATTAGAAGTAGTGGCAGGACTGTGGTTCCCACTGGCTGGGAAAGGGGAAATAAGACCCCCATGTTTGAAAACAGAAGATGACCTGAGGAACTACAGGTCAGTCACACCTCATGCCCAACAAGATGAAGGAGCAAGAACTATGCTAAGGCATATGGAAATAAGGAGTTGGTTGGTGACCATCATCATGGTGTTGGTGGAAATATGAAGAGCAACTGATATCACCTACCTGGACTCGTGCAAAGCATTTGATGCTGTCTCACATGACATCCTTATCTCTAAACTGAGGACACACAGATTTGATGGGTGGACCACCCAGTGGATAAAAAGCCAACTGGATAGTCACACTCAAAGAGATGGCTCATCAGTGGCTCACAATCCAAGCAATGACCAGTGACAAGTGTTATTCCTCAGGGGTCCGTATCAGGACCAGCACTGTTTAACATCTTTTTGGCAACATGACAGTGGGATCAAGGTACCCTCAGCAAGTTTGCCAATGACACCAAGCTGTGTGGTATGGTGACATGCTGGAGGAAAAGGGATGCCCTCCAGAGGGACCTTGGCAGGCTTGAGAGGTGGCTCTGTGTGAACCTTGTGAAGTTCAAAAGTTCTGCACCTGGGTTAGGGCAATCATAAACACAAACACAGGCTGGGCAAAGAAGTGATTGAGAGCAGCCCTGAGGAGAAGGACTCGGGAATGTTGGTGGATGAGAAGTTACTTCACACAGAAGCATTGAAATCTCCCTTCTTTCAAATTTATTTTATTCTCCACCATTATGATAGAAAAAATTCATTTGTGAAATGAGCTGTTTCCAAGCATGCAGGTAATCACCAACTGCCTGAGGTAATGGCCAATTGAAATCCCACCTAGTAATGCCACCTAAGAATTATGATTTAGGGTACAGTTTGTACTGTGGTATCATCACTCCTAGTTAAAAAAAAAAAAAAAAAAAAAAAAGCTTGTGCCTAATTCTAACCCCTATCTGGTAATTTTTTTTTCCTATTGAAAGATCCTTTATCAATGCAGATGAGTTTATTGATGCATATTTTGTGCTCCCTTCCATTCTTATTTGTAGAAACAGTTCTTTGGTTTAAGGCAAATGATAACAATACTGCTTCCTTTTTCATCAAGGAAGGGATAGTCCCACCTGTATGAACAGCATTAGGAAAAGGACTAGAAGAGTGCAAGAGAGCTATAATCTATAAATGAATCAGTATTATATTAGGTTTAAGAGTTCAGTGGCTGATGTTTTCAAATTTAATTCAGAAACATCATCATTTGTTAAATGGTATTGGATGCTTTTAATGATGCTAAGACAACTTCATCTTTTTCTTTCCTCTTTTGATCAGTAATACAAGTAATAGTTAAAGAACTTTGCTTGGCTAAATAGTGAGGCATTTTTCCAAGCTGCAAGTCTCAAGTCAGTCTTCTCATGGCCAGACATACCTACTGGGCTGCATTTCCCTTATCCACTCTTACTCCTGTTTCTACAGAAGAGCCTTGTTAAATTCTGAATCCTTAAACAACACTGAAAGCTGCACTGCATTGTACAAAACATGTTTTTTCTCTTTCCTTCAGAAGCACCTGTCAAGTAATAATAACTTCAGTTCCTTCACATTGTCAAAGACTGCCTGTTGCAAGCATGTTTAGAGGAAAGTAAAGACATTTTTGCTTCTTAGTAATATATTGTTTGAAACAGTGAAGCCAACTGTAATGATTCCAAGGACTGCCAGAATTAGTGCACCCTCTTCCACTCCTTTTTAAAATATTATGCAATAGAAAAATTCCTCTTTAAGCCACTGTAATTCTTCCATTGCTCAACTTCTTCCTGATTTGCCTCAAAAACTGCATTGCCAAGCAGGGATTCCTTTCTCACCAAAGGTGTAACCTTCAGGCTGCTCACCCCTCTTCCACATTACATGTAAAAGATAGTTCTGAGCCACTGAATAACATTTCCATGGCAATGATTATTAAAAGAACGCCTGGACAAAAGTAACAGTGCTGTTGACAAAAGAGTTGACAAAGATGAACCTACAGTCTTCACAGTAAATAAAGCTATAATGTAATTTTTTTTCCATATGTATTGCTATGTTTTGGACTTTTGCCTCACTCTTTTAGGGCCATAAGAGAGCCAGTTTTTCTCAGTTCTGAAATGACTCACAAGAATACATGAATTGGTATCTTCAAATACCAGTACTCAGTTACATAGTACTTGTGAGTACTTATGAGTAACCAGTACTTATGAGTACTCAGTTACACAGTACTTGTACATACTAGCAGCTCATTATTAGCACTAGCACGTAAATGAGAATGTCTATTTAAAGCAAACTGAACGTTTCCAAGTCTCAAGAAGTATCCGTGAAAGACACTGGCTATCTAGTACTATCACAGGTCCAGATAATTTCCCTTCATTTTAATACCATCACCTGCTGACTCAGATATGCATAAAATTAGTTAAATACTGATTGCTGGGATACAAAAATGAGAATTTCAGCATCAGCTACTGAATCTTAAATACTTTACAAGATAAAAAAAAGCTACAGTCCGTGATTTGAACAATAACAGCAGAGATGATTGAAAAACTTGCACATTATTTATAACAACTACCAGAATCAGCCTAAATTGAGTAAATCAACTTTCAATTCTAAGTTATTGTGAATATGCAGAATATACCATTTAAATTCACTTCTTTACTTTGCACCTTTATGCAGCCTATCATTTCCACTCAAGCTGAAGTGATCATCTGTTGTGGTTGACAAAGCAGTGACACTTCCCCTGTAGTTCTTTTCAGCAGATCCAGAAGTTTTTATCTTAACTACCCAGTGAGAGGCTCACCTGGTATCTCATTCTGGGTAGAGAGCAATTGGAACATCAGGTAGTAAGTGGTGAGTAGAGACATTGAGTCACACAGGATGAGACATCCTGACAGGCTGCTCACTTGCTTCTCTCGCCTCTTTACAGCTATCCAAATGTTGGCTTGGTACACCACAACAACACAACCAATTGCTTCTTGGCTAAAGCCAGTATTTTGATATTTATTTCTGTTAGATAAAATGAAGCTCTTGCCTCAAGCATAACAGAGTACATACTGATTAGAGGCAGTAGCAGCTAGGAAGACAGCCTCTGGCTCCAGGTCTTTTCAGTTCTGGAATTCCAGAGAGAGAAAAAGACAGGTACACTAACAGTGCTGTGCCAACATCCATTTCTTAAATAAAGTCTAACACCTAACCCAAAGGGGAATCTTTCTCCTCCCAATACAACTTAAAACTCTGTTTATCCAACTTGAGGAAAATAAATATTCAATTCAGTCTCTTTACAATTGTAACCTTACTCGTCTGTGCTCCCCACTAACTCAAACTGTTTCATTTGCTAGAATCAGCTTTCCAGTGTGACTTTTACAAATTGGCTTGATCAGACTACACCCACAAAAACATTAAATGCTGGTAATGAAGTTTTTTGCCTATTGCTGTCTTGCTTGGACAGCATTACTTTAGATAACAAGAAGCTACCCCAGAAAACACACTAAAAATTCAGCTGTTTGTCATTAAATTGGTATGGGTCTTTTGATGCTGGGAAATGCAAGCAGAAAAAATAAAATTATAAGTTACATAATTGCAAATATTTAGAAGTAATTTAGTGATTTTCATCAAGAATCAAACTCATACTTTGACAGATTAGCCATGCCAAAGCCCAAATTCCAATCTATTCCCACCCCTCAACTGTTAGTAACTCAAAAGAATGACAGTTTTTACTAGCAAGGGAGCTTTTGATAAGGTCACTTTTTTAAGTTTACCAAGCACAACTTTTCCCTCTTATGAGGACTGCTTTATAAAGACATGTATATTCTCTTACCACAGAATTTCAGCTATAGGTTTTTCTAATTCAAAAGGAAGGCTGTGTCTGTCAAAGGCTGCTGGAAATACAAGATGATCTGTCTCCAAGCTTCCTGAACTCTAAGGATGACTTTAACATTACAGATAAGAGACTCAGTAGAAACTATATATTTCCAGAAAAGCAAAATCAGACCAAGTTAACATAATATAACAAAGTTAAGACTTTCCTTAAGTCACTTCAAGATGCATATAAACACTTACTCACCTGAAGCATAGCTTCTTTCTGTGGCACTGACAATGATCTCTCCTCAAATGAGGCTGGTTTGTGAGTGGGTGGAAGATCAATCCTGTCGTGAAGAGGGAATGAAATATGACACATCATGTTTGTGAAGTCCAATTGAATGGTCAGATATTAACTGCCAAATCACCCAACACTCAGTACTTGGGGACAAACACCTTTCAGTCAGCAATGACTCAGATGTGACATATTGTAATGGAATGTATCTACCACTGGCTATTATTTAGTCACACACTTTTTGTAGAAAAGCACTACCCAGAATTTGTTATTTATTGCATCCTCTGCTAAGCAGACTGAATTTCCCCCCATACACTCCAGCTAAGGAGGATCAGAAGCTACTGGTATCTAACAGTTTCTAAGTTACGAGATACAGCTTGAACAACTGTTTTAATTATAGCCTTCCCTTAAAAAGCCTTTGAGAAAGCCTTACTAGCAATTCTTACATACAAGACTTTTTCTATTTTAACTTTCTCAGTGAAAGCAAGTGGGTTATAAAAGAATTTAAATGTTTAAGATCACTCATATAAATGAGCTTCAGATACAGAATTTAAGAAAAACAAACATGAAACACCATTTCTAACCATGTTAAAAGTTGCTCAAAAGAAGACTCTTGACTCATCTTGGTAGCTCAATGCAAATGAGGAAACTTATTTTATGCTAAAGGCTCTTAGTTATTTTATTTTAGTTCTCTAACTACATGAGCAACATTTCTGATTAAGTTTTAGTGTTAACTGTATATGGGATGTAAGAAACTGTATATGGGATGTAAGAAGACCCATAATTACAAATATTCTAAGCCCCTGTCACTTTTTTATGCACTTTTTTATCCAAACAGAATCTAGACATCATCCACTTTAACTGACATATTTTCAGATATTTTTGTTTCCTTCTTTTTTGTTTGATCACATTGAATAAAGTAAACTGCATGTCTGTGCCAAAGACTTGAAGAAACAACCAACATTCCAGAAAGCACAAGTCAGTAACTTCTAAGCATGTATCTGTGGGAGCTTGCTTCATTTTACAAACATTTCAGGATTAATTTTAGGGGGCCTTCACATTTGCAAAGCGTGGCTAATTTATTTGCAGTTACAACAAACTAGCAGTCACTGGCACTAGTCAAGAGGGAACCCTTTTTTGCCCTCCAGTTAAATCCATGAGTAGTTTTCTTTCAAAAAACCCCAAACTTCTCAAGAGATAAAATGTTACATTACTTCTGAAGTAATTCTTACCTTCCTCATTTCTTTTTCAGAAATGTGTGATTTCACATTTGTGTGCTCTGAAAATAGAGCCCTGAAATTACAAAAGCTGAGTAGCTGCTAAATTAAGTCAGACCCTTAAATTACTGTACAGAACAAATGCTTTCTGCATATAGCTGTCAACTGAATTTTAAAAATACTCACACTTTGTCAAGATAGGCTGGCCTTTTTTTCCTTGGGGTCAGCAGCACTGTCACAAAGATGGTAATGATAAAAAGAGCAAGGACTGCTCCAATCACAGCCCCTGCTACAGCAACAGAAGATGTCTGCTTAAAGGGCACATCTGCAATGTGATAGCACAGATTACAACTTTAAGAAGTTCATATACTTTTAATACTCAGATAAACTACTTCAGTGTTGTTCTGAGAAATGCTTCTTCCTTCCACTGCCAAACAGAAAGCCTTGCCCTGCACTAGCACTTCTGCAGTATTGCTTCAACTTACCAAACTAAAAAACTGGGGGAATTAAGAGAGTTCATTAAATCAAAATTTTTGATTTCAAAAATTTTATGGACTACTTTTATTAAATACTAGCAGCATGCTTTCATTCTCAATTTCAAGGTCAGATAACATTACAAAATGTATGATTTGCACTTAAATAAGCTAACAAGGTGTTAATGCAAAAACCTGGGCAGCAACGGTTTATTGACAATCTTTCTTTAAAGACACTTAAGTTTGCAGAAAGCAAAAAACAAAAACTTAAAATCAGGGTAAAAAAAACCCCATATACTAACTACTAGGAGCAATGAATATGCAAACAAACACTCAATACTTGGCTTACACTTATCAAAGCAAACCCTAGGACCACTTATCATCTTTGGGACTTCACACTTCAAGCTACAAGAAAGTAATTTTCATAAATAAATTTTAATAAGAGTAGAGAAAAAGCTGTGTTTTTTTCTTTTTACAGCATTTTTGTTTTGACCTTCGCATTGTCAAATCCAATGCTGAAGAACTCTCAGACTGAATTAACATACTTGTCAGTCTTTAAAGGCCACTCCTTTCACTATGCTTAGAAATAAAATTTTAAGTCTCAAAACTGAAAAAGCTGCTAACATACTTTAATTTAAAATCATCAGTACTTTAAACTTGTGCTAACAGGCTCAACAAAATTTTCACAATTGGAATAATTCAGGTCAGCTGCACTAAACACCTACAAATATTAGGCAGCATACGTTAAATAATGCTCTCAATTTACATTGAGTACTCAAATAGAAAAATTAACAGTGCAGAAATTGAAAATTAACACAGTTCTCTACCTACAATGTATTTCTAAAGCAGTCCACTTTATTATTATTCAAAACCAACACAACCATTCTCTAATCTCTGACCAAAGGAAAGTTGTATGCTCCATTGAAACTATGCAATATGATTTATCAATTCCTCGGATTTCTAATGTTGTTCTGCCTGTATGCTGGAAAGCTGAGCAAAACCCTCCAATTAAGAAAAAAAAAAAGTAAAAATCCCAAAATACACTTGTCTTGCACTCTGATAAAGCAATTCCTGTCCCCTCACTGCTTATCAAAGATCTGACATGAATATTCTCCTGAGGTCACACTCACACAGTATACTTAAGTAACCTGAAAAAAACTGAAATAAGCTTTTTTGGTGACTTCCTTAATGTTAAGGAATAAAGTCCTAGAGTAACAACTTGCAGAAGTTACTTTGCTCCTCAAAGAAGAATGCAATGTACCACCTTTGGTTCATCTAATAGCTTTCCCAGCATAAGCTCCTGTGTCCATCAGATACCAGCCTGGGCACTATAAACTGTCCTGGCTTTGGCTGAGATAGTGTTAACTTCTTCTCAGGAGCTTGTACAGTGGTTTGGATTTCCCATGAGAATAGTGCTGATAACCCACCCATGTTTTGGTTTTTGCTAGGTTGTGTTTATCAACTAAGCCAAGGACTTTTGTGTGTGTGTCCCTCATGCTCTGCCGGTGAGGAGCTGCACAAAAGAAAACTGGGAGGGAGCATATTTGAGAAAGATCACCTGAAGTGGCCAAAGGGCCACTTCCCTTTGGAACATGGCAACACCATGCCAAGTATATAAACTGGGGAAATTACCCAGAAAGAAATATTGTGCATCACTTGTTTCCCCCTCCCTTTCATTATCCATTACTATTATTATTATATTTTACTTTGTTTTCAATTATTAAACTATTCCTATCTCAACCTACAAGCTTTACTTTTAATTCTCCTCCCCATTACACTGGGGTGAGGAGAGCAAGCAGTTGTGTGGTGCTTGGCTGCAAGCTGGGCTTAAACTACGACACAAGCATAATTCATAGTTTTTTCCTGAAAAATAGGCACATGAATCAGTGGAAGGGTCACCTAACCACTGCATTTTAACTGGCTTTAGTTTACACTGGGTGCCCTCTTCTTGAAGTGAGAAAATCTCAACTAACTAATATACATTTCTTAGGTCCAGAATTCTTGAAGATGCTTTGGTCCTGTGATTATATCAGAAGAGTTCCTTGACTGCTTCATCCTAACTTCATGGTGCCTTTTCTTCTAGTAAATTCTGCTATAATGTTAAGACATCATAAAGTATTATACTTTCAATCAAAGTCCACCCATTGAGTCTGATTTTGGGTGCGATGATGAACACCCATTTGCTTCTGAACACCAGGAAAAATAGTAATAGCCCAGCACAGTGACACACAGGAATTTAAATGCAATTACCACAGGGCACGCTTAATTTGGTTTTTTGAATTGCTTTGGCAAAACATCAGTGTAACCAGTGGAATGATCATAAACCCAGACCACCATGCCAAGCTGCACAAGCCAGAGAGCATGTAACATGTATGGTGCCACCTACAAAGCATTTTAACCACCAGATGGTCAGAAATAAATGGAAATTGATTAACTCCAAGAAACATGGTTAAAGCAATCAAAGACAATAGAACAAAAAAACAAGACTATCTTGAAGTATGCAATTCCTAATTAGTTTATCACCTGTGCTTGAAAAGAAATGTTTTGGACAGCAAACACCTCCATTTATCATTTTCTTAATCTTCATAAAAGAATTTCTGAAGACATTTGTTTTATAAGCTTATGCTTTCTTAGGGGAATACTTAACAGCCCATCTCAAACAGCTTAAACACCTTAGTTCATTCTATCCAGTCTCTGGGTTTATTGTGCTTTTCCCTCTTCAATTTTAAGAACATAACTGTGAAACATTTTTGAACACTACCTATGTTTCAGAATGTAAGAAAAAGTTTATTCACACAACAGCCATTTGTAAGTACAATCAATTCTTTTTACAGTAGACATAATGTACAAAACATTGCAACGCGCGTAAGCCCTATCCCTATTAATAACTTCAACTCCAGAACATTTCAACTTCTCAACCCATAGGAATTAAATATATATATATTTTTTAAAAATCAAAGCAAAAAATCCACAGAGACAAAAGCAAGATATCCCATGTGGAAAACTGGTTTATGGTTATGTTTATTTCCAAGTAAAACCATCTTTTAAAGATGAACTATCAACTTTTTATTCGAAGAGAGGTATAATCTCTTTATTCCAGAGATAATTTGGATTAGAACCCTCTGCTAGAAATTTCACTCCTTTTCTTGTGTTTGCACTCAAACTACAGATAACCACAATATCACTTGCTACTGTTTTTGAGACTTTGGTCAATCATTTATCAGTACTCCATTGATCCAAACCCAAACTTAAGTTGTTTAGGGATGCTTTTCCATTTGAATTTCAAATAAAGCTGTTGTCTTAATCTTTTCCAAAGACATGCAGTCATATGCAATCACAGTGTATTGTCTACAACACTCAGTGTAACTATTTTTGGGAAGCTCTAAATGCTGTAAGCTACCAAACACCGTGAGGATAGAAAAGAACTTCCAGCATCAATGCTCATGAAGCAGCTGTAATTATCAGTCTATTTCACATCAATAGTACAGACTTCTCCCTTTTCATGTTTCAAATACTAATAGCCTTATCAGCATCAATATCCTCAAGCGAAACACTTAAAAATGGTACTTCAAAAGATTTAGTATTCTACTTATGCATTTACTGTTGTTCTGCAATTCACCAAAAGTTGTTTAATTCCTCCTCACGGCAGATTTAGTTTGGTGAATCTGCTCAAGATAAACTAGAACTATTTCACATGTCAGACAAGATTTCCAATGTATAATGGATACAATGTCATTTTAAAGAACATGTAAAATCAGTATGAATTATTTGCAGGGAAAACAAATCCACTGTGGTACAGAGACTGCACAGATCATCTGAATTCCTGTTTCACAGACTCTTTAGTTGCACCACTGAAGAGCACGTTTTGAATACCTGAAGTAGCAGTGCAAGTGTCCACTTCCCTACTAAAAATCTGAAACTCTGGTTACCCTCTTCAAAGCAGGTATTGTAACTTAGTCGGAAGCAGCGTAAAACCGCTGTTTTAACTTCTGCTCATAGAAACTCTAATGCTTTTTGGCACCTGGGAAAATAAGCACATTCACATTAGCCTCCAGCTTCGGAATCTAGATGGGTGTTTTCTCCTTAGTTGTGTCCAATTAACCAGCTTGTAAATTCAATGGTAAGATTCCCACAAAGCCTCCAGAACAGGTCTCAGAAATTGCACCCTGTGAACTTGCAAAGAGCATCTTGTATGCATTAATGAGTTTTGACATCCTGCCAATTACAGGCCTAACAAAACACCTCACTGTATGTATATATACAGACACTAGAGTAAGCTTTAGAAATCAATGACTATAAAAAAATAACTTTTCATCGTATTCAAATACAAGCCTTTGACCTGTTTACAGTTACTCCTCAAAATGTTGTTCGTAAGTTAGTTTCAGTGCAATGACTTAACTTTTAAGTATATAGTTACAAGAAGGCTCATTAAAATGCTAAGAGGTATTCATTTTTATGCAGAAAAAACCCTAGAAAATAAAGCTTTAATTCTGCTGTAACACATTTTAACTGATAAAGTATTTGCTATATAGAAGCATTCAGTTTACTGTGGATGGTACCTAGATTGGAGTAATTCAAAGCCCCCAAAGATTATATTTGATCATTGCCTTGGGTAAACTTATTTTTAAACCAGAGAGCCAAGACAGCCACTTTTTATTCTTAAACAATATTGAATGGCAACTTTAATTTAGCCTTTTTTTTTTTTTAACTCTGACATAGACCAATATAAGCACTCTGCATTAAAACTCAAATCTTCAACAGTAGTACAGCATTGGGAAAAAAAAAAAAGCAGCTCAAATACATTTTCCCCAGATTCAGTATTTCCATTGTGTCAAGTCACAATATAAAAACC